GTATTCTGTTGCTCCAGGAGCCATTTGTCCAGGTGCACACAAAAAATGGTTCCAGGTCCCAAGTCCCAGTCTGTCTCACCCTCACCTGGATAGAGGAGGTGACCTGGGCCAGCTGCGTGACACCATGTTCTTCCATCCCAAATTCCACCTTGCTGGAAAATGTGCAGTCAGTGAAAAAAATTAATCAATAGTCAATCTAAGAAATGAAAAATTTATTCCTGCCAACCTGAGGATTATAGCCCAGGAGACAGCCTCTCGGCTCTGAGAACTGTTGTGAAGAGGCAGGGGTGGGGGCGATTGTATAAATGGTTTTGGCAAAGGGGTGCATGCAATCAAGCACATGCGTTGGTAGAAGATAACAACTATTCTCAAGGAACAGACGTCTCAGTGAATGGCTTAGTGCTTTTCCAAGTATGGGAAGATGCAAGAATCCAGGTTCATACAAATTTCTCCTGTGAATATCTGTCTGAAGGGCCTGTTCTGCCGGGTTTCCCGGAGCAGAGAGCGCCTCATCCTGATCTTCGCCCTGAATTCCTTCCAGGCTGTGTGCTGTCGGTCAGGGGCCGCAGTGGCTAACGACCTGATTCTTGTAGAACTGGGGGGTGGGCAACGTTATTTTACAATCCCTTCTTTCCCTTTTGATCTTAATTTCAGCTGAGGTTTGGGAGGCGTTTTGTGGCCAGTTTGCCCCACAGCGCTAGGAATGCTCGTTCCCAGGCCCGGCAAGGAGGATTTCGTGGCGAGGCCGTCAGCCTGCTGTGGCTGGACTACGCCCTGCCGCCTGGAGCCGAAAGCCTCAGACCGTCTGTCTGACCAGCCTGTTACGGGCCTGGAACTGGTCCCCTCTTGTTGCTTCTTCCCATATATGCAGTTACACTGTTACAGTCGTTGATCTCACAGGACTGTGTACTTGGTCGGTTGTTTCAAGTTGCCTGAGCACCACCGATTTTATCTGAGGCTCAGACACACGTTCGGTTGTGCAAGAAACAGTGATCTCGTAGAACAGGCAGAATACAAGTGGGACAGCTAGTGACAGTAACAAGGCCCCAGTGAGTACTTAACTGAGAGCTTCCATTAGGCGCGGCCCAGGGTCTCCCGGGTCGGCTGGAGAGTCTGTTCTGCTGCATCAGGTGCTATCCTTAAGGGAAATGATACCTTGTCACTGTGCAGAGTTCACCAAGCACACGGGCGAGTGGTGGGTCACTGCTGAAGGAGATGCCCCAGGACGCTCGCTCGGGAGCCCCTGGACAGAGCCCCAAGGGAGGGTCCGTGGTGTCTCGCAGGAAGGAATTCAAGAGTGAGCCAAAGTAAAGTGAACACAAGTCTATTTAGAGAGATACACGTTCCAGAACGCACACCTTCTCAAAAAGTGAGCGTGGCCCTCGGGTGTGGAGGTGGTTAGTTTTTATAGGCTGGGTGATTTCATAGCAAACGAGTGGGAGGACTGTTGTGTTTTTAAGAAGGGGTAGGGGTTTCCAGGAATTGGGCCACTGCCCACTTTTTGTCCATCTGTGGTCAGTCACCTTGGAGCTGTCATGGTGCTGGTGGGTGTCATTAACATGCTGGTGTATTACCACTCTGTGTGTAACCGAGCTCAGGGTCTCCTGGAAGTCAAACCTTCTGCCGACTTGGGATCTATCCATTTTCTTGTCAAATCCTGCTTTTCTAAATGGCTTTGTCCCCCTCCTCATTCTTTTAACATTTGTGCCCTGCCCACCTCCTGTCTCATGCTGACTCCTTAGAGGACTGAGAATGTTATCTTTTAAAGTTACATGGCTGGTGCCAAAGGAAGAGAAATTGATCTTTATGGTTGAGCAGGAATTTCCACCACTGGGGACGTCTGGTTAACGCCTAATGCAGCTGCACAGTGCACCCCAGAGGGGAGGGAGGAGGCCAAATGGGCAGAGGAAATTTTATCTTTAAACTTTTCCTGTCTTGCCTTAGACTGTGAATTTTTATTTCATCAGTGCTCTCAGGAGGCAGGCATCTTACTCCATCTCGCTGCCTCTGAATGTCGGCGGGGGGACCAGGAGAGACACAGTGACTTAGAAAACCAAGGGGGAAAGAGTGGGTGAGATCAGATGGCACTGTAGAGGTCGGGTGAGTGTCTTGCAAAGAGGGTAAGAATGAAAGGGAAACAGCAGGGGAAGTAGCAAATGGGTAAAACAGAGGCGTGTCCAGAAAACCAGGATCTGCAGGGAGATGAAGGTACAGAGATAAAGGCAGGGTGGGAGCGGAGCCCTTGGTGACAGTGGGGCCAGCAGTGGGGAGGCACGTCACACGGAGAGTGCTTGGAGGGGTCAAGAGTGGAAGCCCTGGTCCTCAGAGTAGCTGGATGCTGGAGGGGAGGGGGAGACCAGGGAAGCAGAGGGAGCAGCACACAGAAGGAGCAGAGTTGGAAGAAAAGGCAGGAAGAATGGAGATTTGGGACACTGAGAAAAGTAGGGGAGAAAGAGCAGTAGGAGGGGAACAGGCTGCAGAGTGGGGCAGGAGAGGAGTGCGGGGAGAGACGAAGGAGAGGGAGAAACGGCAGGAGAGTGGAGGGGAGCCAGACAAAGAAACAGGGAGATAGAAAAACCAAATGAGAGGGAAGCACCTCGTAGCACAGGAGTGGGGTGACACCTGGATCCAGATGAGTGCCGAGTTGTTTGTGGATAATCAAGTTGTGATGTATTAATTTGTGGCTTTGGAATCTAATAAATTTAAACTTTTTAAAATTGATTATACAGATGAGCATGAGACCTGAAAAACTCTGGTCTCTGACTTGTGCATTTTGTAATTATTTGTATCAGAAGGTAGCTTGCATTTGCAACCCCTGTTCAGCCAAGGGCAGTGCCTCGAGTCTAATGGTAGTGAGTCACCCCCTTCCCCTGACATTGATGTGAGCCGAAGGTCAAGGGACAGGACATCTGAGGCAGGAAGTGACCGACTCTGCCACATGAGGCCTTTGTAAACGAACATTAAAAGTGCCTTTTTCTCCCCCGGTAATAGTTTTGCTTTTTTCTTGTTTCTTTACTTTTTGTAGCTTGAGATCTTAGTTAATTCAATTTCTCTCCTATAGTTATTAACTTCTGAAATGAGCTTTGGTGGCTTCCTATAATCAGTTCATGTCATTCTTACGTAAATATGCTCTATTCTGTAGAATATTTTAAGCCTGACACCAGTTTTTTTTTAATTGAAAGAAACTACCATCTTTCATAGTTTCTGGTTTAGATCAGGGCCTGTGTGCTTTCTCCTCTTTATCTTACATACTGGAGAAGTTCTTTGGTAAGCAGTAAACATTTCCACACTGTGCTTATGAGTACTTGGTAAGTCCAGTGCCCTTTTAGCAGTCAAAACCTAGTTTAACCAGTTAGTCTGATACTCAGCAGTGAGCTGTGAGGGACTACGAAATGTTCCCCTCAAGTTCTTGTCTGTTCTCTGCAAATGAGAGCCCATCTATTCACAAAGAAGTTTCTCAGAGATTGTTTCTAAGCTGACTCCCTTTCAGTGTTACCCACGGAAGCCTAGTCAGTTTACAGTGTTGTGTCAGTTTCTGGTGTACAGCACAGTGCTTCGGTCACATAGGTACATATATTCGTTTTCATACTCTTTTTCACCATAAGTTGCTACAAGATACTGAATATAGTTCCCTGTGCTGTACAGTATGAATTTGTTGTTTATCTGTTTTATATATATATATCAGTATCTGCAAATCTTGAACTCCCAATGTATCCCTTCCCACCTTGGTAACCATGTTTGTTTTCTGTCTGAGTTTATGTCTGTTTTGTAAGTAAAATAGAATGACAATCTCCAGATCCATCCATGTTGCTGCAAATGGCATTGTTTTATTCTTTTTTACGGCTGAGTAGTATTCTGTTGTATAAATATACCATAGCTTCTTTATCCAGTCATCTGTTGATGGACATTTAGGCTGTTTCCATGTCTAGGCTATTGTAAATAGTGCTGCTATAAAATGAACCTTGTGGTATATGTATCTTTTTGAATTAAAGTTCCCTCTGGATACATGCCCAGGAGCAGGGTTGCTGGGTCATATGGTTTATTTGTAGCTTTTTGAGGAATCGCCATACTGTTTTCCACAGTGGCTGCACCAGACTGCATTTCCATGAACAGTGTAGGAGGCGCCCTTTTCTCCACAGCCTCCCCATGTTTCCTCTGAACTTGCAGAGGATGTTTCTTCTCTCCCTAGCGTGTCACTGTGTCCTTCAACCTGTGAACTGTATTCTCCCACCCTCCCGTGGTGCCGCAGCTCCTCCAGAGACAGGCAAAGGCAAAGACTTTACCACGATCTACAACCCTCTGCCCTCTGGCTCCTGTCAGTTTTGTTGCTTGACTGAAAGAGCGATGGGGGCTGATTCAAAGGGGTTTCTCTCTCATTTCTCTTTCTGGACTTTATTCCATCGGATGCTCCATTCTTAGCCCTAACAGACCACAGCTGACACCTCCATCATCCTAACCTCTGGGCCTCTCACGGTTCCCTCCCCATTTTCTGGACTTTGGTCTAATCCAAAGTTGGGAAAAACACCAAGAAGTGGGTCTCTTCCTGCAAGGCTCAGGGGTCTGGCTCTGCTGCAGGCCCCCTTGTAGGCAGGTCTGTGGCCCATGGAATCCTGGGAGTGGTAGTGGCTGCTGGTGTGTGGACCTGGGTCCCAGGGTCTCACACTAGGGTGCCAGCACTCCGGGCATCCCAGGGTGGGTGGCAGGGCTGGGCCACAGGGCACGCAGGGCCTCTTACCGCAGAGCCCTGGGGGTCATGAAGCTGGTGCTGCGCCCCGGGGCCAGTCCTGGCCATTGTGAGCCCTGGGACCCAAGGCCTGTGGCTGCAGAGCCTTAAGGGTTCTAGAGATCCTGTCACTCACTGCTGTGCAGGGGCCGGGAGTCCTCGGGTAACTGGCCTGCTGGTGGGGAGGGCTCTGCTGCCCGCAGCTAGCTCCCTGGCCTGGTGTGTGACAGGACTGGCAGTGAGCAGGCTGGCGGGCGGGGCTGCACTGGTAGCAAGATGGGTTCTTACCTGATGCTTACCAGCTCCGGTGTCCAGTGTCCCCATGGTGGGAGCCAGCATCCACATCCCCGAGGTGGGTGCCATTCACCTCCTGCCTCTCCGGGAGGGTCTGACCCAGGCTCCTTTCCAGTCCCTGCTTCTGCCCTGGGTCTGTTAATCCCTGCCCACCACCCCTTTCCCCTTGGTAACCATGGTTTGTTTTCCTCAGTGATTTTTTGTCTTTGTTAGTGGAGATACTGGGGATTGAACCTAGGACCTTGTGCATGGAAAGGACACCCCCCATCCCACCTTAGTGATTTTAATGCAGACTTGTTTTGTGTCCACAGAGCAACCAGCGGTGTATGGACAAGCAGCACCTGTTTCTTGAGAATCTTCCAGGACCTCAAAATTGGCCCCAGGAGCTCCCAGATGATGGGGCCTAAAATAGAAGCTCCCATGTGCCTCTGACAACACTCACTTGATCCTAAACTTGCAGGTAAGGACCACCTTTCCTCTTGGTGTGACTGGTACACAAACATCACAAGGGTTCTCAGCCTCTCAAGTCATGAGCAGTGGCCCAGACCCCCCCCCCATCACATTTCTGAACAGTCAGCCCTTTGTTCTTTGGGCTGCGGTCCCATTCTGCGCAGGCAGGGCCTCCTCCGTGTGCTGCAGGTTACACGGCTCCCTGAAGTGCTATGGGAGCTGTTCGTTCTGTATTTACTTAAAGAACATATTGTTATTCATTCATTCATTTTTAGTTTTTTTATTGAAACAGCTGATTTGCAACGCTAACAATGCTGAGTCTTAAGGAAGGCTCTCCAGTGTAACGTTGCCCAAGGGCGCAGCTGGAGCTTGCCTCTGGGGGCTGCTTTTAGCCTGTGCAGGGTAACCGGCAAGGCCTTCTCCCAAACTGGGTTGGTTTCCTGGCCTATTTTGGTGGTTCTCTTTTTTAAGGAATGACTCGTCTTTTTAGTCTTTGCCGCGGACTGAGGTCTCCATGGAGCACGGTAACTCCCCTTGTATCCCCAGTTACCCTGGCTATGAAAGCTCCTTTGTTGGCACTTTGATTTGAAAGAGGCAACCCACAAAGACGCATGATTTCTCCTAGCAAGGCCCCCATTACCTCAGAAGCCCTTTTCTGCCCTGCATGGAAAAGCTTCACCCAGCCCACCTTGTTGAAGGCGTTCAGATCCCAGCAATGTCTACAGTTCCCCATGGCTCTTGGCACAACAGTAAGTCTGTCTGCCGGTAGGTCCTGGTTCCACCTCTCGGGTTTGCATCCCTTTTATTATTGGAGGTGGCCAGGCTTAAGGACTGTTTCTGGCACAGACCAGGCAATTCTGTACGACCTTTGAGGTAGACCTTGGCATTTGTGGACCAGTAGTACATTTTTGTAGCTAATGCTAGCTTGCATCCCTCCCCTAACGGGCTCCTTGATCATTCTGTCCCTTAAATGCTCAGCTGTAAGCACCAGCTGGTCTCCACAGTGAACCCAGACTTCTTTGGGTGGGTGGTACTGATCAGAGTGGGCATCCAATTCCCATTCATTTGCGCGCTCTGAACACTGAGGCCTACACAGGGGCAGGTCAGCGCCCGGGGTGAGGACTAGGGCCTTAGGGTCTGGATGTCTCGCTCTGACCAGTGGAACAATTTCCCGCAGCTGCTTCCTTCTGTGTGTTAACATTCCTTCCTGCTGTTAGCGGACCTCTCTCCACATGGCCCCATGTGCTTGTACTTCAGAGAAGGCATCCATAGGATCTGTACAAATGGTTACTTTTTTCTTGGCTCCAAGGTGCTGGGCTCCTGTGAGCGCTGCCCTCTGGGTGGACATACCTGGAGGCAGGCCTCCTGCTCCAAGTCCTGGTGCATTGCTGTCGCACACCCCGCCTTTCGGAGTCCCTGGTCCATGAAGTTGCTCCTGTCCGTAAGCATTTGCACATCTGTCAGGTCGGGTCCCCTAGAATAGACTTTGTCAGTCATTTGTATGTAGCCGTGGACAGGTTCACTTGTGGGAGTGACTGGGTTTAGAGTGGTTATCACCTTTTACTCTTACACTCAGGTTGTTAAGTAGCGTGGCCTGGTGTATGCCCTGCCGTTCCAGGAAGGGTGGCACACGGACGTGCGCAGTGGTAGGCTGGCCTGGGACCAGCCGTCCTTCAGTTACGAGGTCTGTTTGGAAAAGCAGCCTGCTGGCTACTGCACCTAAGCTTAGAGCCAGCCCTCCGGGACGCCCGCCCTGCGCTTCATGCACAAGGTCACGTGGCTTCATAACACCTGACAGACCAAGTGCGAGGCTGCTCAGGTTTCTCCTTGATGCTGTGGAACCCAGGAGGGCAGCCCGGAGCCCCTCTTTAGGGCTCGTTGTCACTTCCTTTGAGAGCCTCACACAGGGCTCTGGCTCTGAGTCCAAAGTTAGGGATCCAAATGCAACAAAACAGCATTTCCTAAAAATCCCCATGACTTTGGGGGGTCGGTGCAGCCTCCTAACGGTTGCTTTCATTTAATGGCGGTACTGGGATCAGCCCCACAGGCTAAGCGCCCGCTCTGCCGCTGAGCTCTGCCCTTCCTCGCTGGTGATGCCTCTTTTAGATCCAGCAGTAAGTTTGCCCTTTGATAACTCAAGTCCCAGACACCGTACAGTTGGTTAAGAAATTATCCCCAGTCTGCCAGAAAACTTCAAGTGAGGGCCGTATTTTGGTCTGAAGCTTCCTCAGTTTTACCAGCAATCACAATACCATCTACCTGCTGGAGCAAGACTTTCAATGGAAGGTCTGTTAGTTCCCTGGCTGAGACGTCCCCAAAGTTAGTGGGGGCATTTTCACATCCTCGCGGCAGGACCATCCAGCAGGACTGTTACGCAGTTTCTGCCTCACCTCATTTGTAGGCAAACAGCCCTGGGGACCAGGCCTCATCAGGGAGCAGCAGTAAAAAGGCATCTTTTCAGTCCAGACCTTTAGTAAAGTAAGCATGTGGGCTCACATCTCCTCACATCTGGTGCAAAAGGCTACTCTCGGACCGGTGTTTGTACCCAGGACGGGTGTGGCATCCTGGGACTGACAAGGTCAAAGTAACTGGCCTAGAAGAACAGTGGCTTGAAACCTTGTCTCCCTTCCCTCCCCCATGCTGTAAGTCTGCAGCCCTGGCACCTGGACTGCCCTTCTGCGTCCTGTCAGCCCGGACCCCTGCTGTTACCGTTTGTAGAGTTTCCTCAGGGACTTGCGGTTCAGGCTTGTCTCCCAGTGCTAACAGCACAGCTTGGAGGGCTCAGGTCTGATCCAGGAGTTACTGCCATGTCTACTTTTTCTGGTGAGAAAGTCAGCTGGGTATTTAATTTTGTTAGTAGAGCTTATCCTAACAGTGAAGAGGACATTCATGCATATACTACACAAGCCCAGAAAGCTGTGCTTTAAGTATGTCCTTCTGTGTGACACTGGAGAAAAAGACATGCCCAGACAGCAGCAGCGATGTGTCTAGCATTGGTACAAGATAAGCAGCTTGAGTGTCAGAGCTAAGTTTCTTCCCCTGCGCTGGTCCTGGGGTCCCTTGTGGGGGAAATGTGGGTGCAGCTCTCGGACTTTAAAGGAGTCCGGGTCCCTGGCAGCAAGTTGCAGCATCTGGCGGGAAGCCTGGAGGCAAGTCCCTTTTCTTTTCTCCCAAGGAAGGATGCCCCCAGGTGAGGGTGGGCGTGGAAGGGAGTCAGAGAAAGGTTCAGAGTCGTAAAGACTGCGGATGTTGACAGGTGTCTGTGTGAACCAAGGACAGAGGGTTTCGACCCGTACCTGCCGCACAGCAGTTCTCAGGAGACCTGGACGCAGCCTCTCAGGTCACAAGGACAGAGGAGACGAACTCAGAGCAGGGTCAGGACTTCACTTCCCCGGCGACCTCCAAGCCCCGGGTGTGGGAAAGCTGGGCCTGAGGAGAGCAGAGCACAGGTACCAACTGTAAAAGACACTGGCCTAATACTTTTCACATGCCTTACCTGACAGAACAATTAAGAAATGTCTTTCACTTACTGTCTTAGAGATGAAGGATTGTCCATTTTATCTTTTGGTTTTGTAGATTACACACCATTGGCTCTTTCAGGGGACTGACCCCCGCCCCCAGCTCCTCCGGGATGGGCACACGTCTGCCCCACAATGGGGACGCGGGGGCCCACCCAGAACCCTGTCTCCCCAGCAGGCTAACTGGGACCATCACCTACTAGAGAATATTCTACCTGCTAGAAATCCCAACATCCTTTCTTTCTGACTGATTCATCAGCTCTGACTTGAATTTTTAGTAAAACCTTCTGACTTGCTTCCAGTGCACAGTCTGCCCCAACCAGAGCTGCGCACTGTTACTGGCAAGCACAATAAATATGCTCCCCTCGACACCAGACAGTCACGTATTCCAGCTGACTACCGCCCTCTCAGGATCTGAGGTGGAAACACAAGGCCTTGCCTGCGGGCCCTTCTGGGGATAAAGCGCCCTCTCACCTCCAGCCCCGCCCACCACCACTTACTCAGGAGCCAGTGTTTCTCCTCCTCGTGGCCTGTGACCGTCACACAGGCTTTCCCCCTTACCAAGTCCTCACACTTCTCTGCCTAGCTCGTGCTAGGGAGATTTCTTGTTTCTTGGTTTTTTTTTAACTGAAGTATTGATTCTCAATGTTAGCTTCAGGCATACAGGAAAGGAATTCAGTTATACACACATACTTTTTCAGTTTCCATTATACAAAAAATCGAATATAGTTCCCTGTGCTATACAGTAGGTCCTTGTTTCTATTTTATACATAGTAATATGTATCTTGTTAACAAGGACCTACTGTATAACACAGAGAAGTATATTCAACCTCGTAAAAAAAACTGATGGAAAAGAATCTGAAAAAAATGTAAATTGCTTTCCTCTACACATGAAACAAACATTGTAAATCAAGTACACTGAAGTCAACAGCCATTAAAATAAAAATATTTTAAGTGAATGAATAAATGACACTGTTTTATACAGTCACCTTATCATTTGAGTCACATAACCTTCTGCCTAGCACAGAGGGGGCCCTGCATACCACTGGGGTCACAAGCATGAAGTGAGGGGGAGGAAGGGCGATCAGCCACCAGGACCCTTAGAAAGAGCAGAGCACAAAGGTACTTACCAGGACTGTGGGGCCTTCTCACTAGCTTCCACCTACAGGTACACGTAAAAAAGGTCGTGGCCATCCTCCTAGAAAAACAACACGAAGAGAAGTATATGGGTAACTGAACTTCACGCTGTACACCAGAAATTGACAACATTGTAAACTGAAGATGCTTCAATTAAAAAAAGTGGGAATGCTGTATCCTATGCCTGTTCTAAGCCATGCCACGTACATCCCACCAGCCGTGCACATGGGTGTATTCTGCACAGACGGGGAAGGACAGCAGAGGAACCACACTGGGTTGGTAACAGGAAAGTAGCAGCTATATCTTCCCCAAAATAAGCCTTTGTACTAGGAAAGTAGCAGCTATATCTTCCCCAAAATAAGCCTTTGTACTAGGAAAGTAGCAGCTATATCTTCCCCAAAATAAGCCTTTGTACTAGGAAAGTAGCAGCTATATCTTCCCCAAAATAAGCCTTTGTACTAGGAAAGTAGCAGCTATATCTTCCCCAAAATAAGCCTTTGTACTGCAGGTCGCTGTGACAGTGACCATCCACTGGTGCTTGGAACCATCTTTCCTTACACCCCGGAAATTTATGGCCCCTCTCAAGTTGTGCCCGTACACCCATCCCAGACAGGACATCCCTTAAGAAATCCTTTCGCCATCGATGGTTAGAACCACCTGTTTGCCTTCTGGACTCAGAGAAACTTACACTCATGGGGCCCAACAAACTCCCCAGACACCCCGTAATGATCGCCCCATCCTGCTGTGCAGTCCCACAAAACACTGCAAGCCCTGACCAGGCACACACGAGGGAATACACGTGAAGACACCCAAGGACCCACCAGACTGAAGACACCATGTTTTCATTCAGTGACACCAGCCAAACACTGTCACCTCTAACATCTACTAATAACACAGATGTGTCTCCAGTGATGCACCTGCCCAAGTGAGACCTCAACAACTTCCAAGGAAACACTCCCAACTTTTCTTTTATAGCTTCCAAAATGCTCTTCACTGCAACTTAACCAAAGACATCCCAGAAAATGAACTCTCAGATTTTCCCTCTAACTACTCCATGGGTTGCACAATGATTCTTGCCCTCCAAAGACCCCACACAGGTCACTGCGTAGAATGCATGCTAGGGGGCACCCTCCAGATCCAGCCACTCAGGACAAGGCACCCATCCTCCTGCACCCTAAGCTCCCCGTGGGCTCAGCTCAGGTCGTGTCCCAGGGAACTCGAGCTAAGACGCTGTGGCACCACACACCGTTCCACGCAGCCTGCAACGACCCACAGGTGCGTTTGCAGATGTCAGAAAGAGGCTTCCCTTTCCAGCAGTCCCACACAGCCCTGGACCCCACAACCATGCTTGGGGCAGGTGCACACACCAGCTGCCATGCCCCTCCTGCAGCCCCCATGGCTCCCCTCCACGTCCCTCATTTTTCCTCCTCTCCTTCACGCACATGTGAGCAAATGGGGCTAAAAGGCACAGGGACCTCCTGGAACAGGCCTCACAGCAGGAAGACATGGAAGTTGCAAACTGAACGACCCTGGGCATCCAGGATGGAGATCAAGAAGTTGTAGCTCCTGGGAAGACATGCCAGCCACTGTGGACATCATGAAGTCCAGTTTAAAGGCGTTTGAGAATGGGCTGGATTGAGTTCAGTGAGCAAGTCACAGAGAGAGGCCCCCTATCTGTCTCCTGTGCTCCCCACTCACAGCAAACTGGGGGATACCTGAGCTCTCGGGGAGGGGGCAGAATAGGATGACTTTGTAGTGAGGCTTAAAAATACCAGTAGTGGGACCTCAAAACCAGGTCTCATGTAAAACTGAATGCTGCTCAAACTCCTGACCTCCTGCGAAGCACCTGCTCTACCGACGAGCTACAGCCCCACCACCAAGGGGGCGTATCTGAGGGAGAGGAGGCTGTTCAGATACAGGCTGAGGGGCCTGTCAACTGATGCAGAGAAGACATTTTAAAAAATTCAACAACTATTTATAATACAAACTTCAGAAGAGGAGGAAGAAGAGGGAACCTCCCTCAACTCAATAAAGAACATCTGTGAATAAATTGCAGCAAACACAAGTAACGGTGAAAAGCTGGCTGCTCTTCCCCAGAGATTATGAACACGGTAAGCATGCCCACCCTGACCACTGCTACTGACATTGTGTTAGAAGTTCCAGCCAGTAAAACAAGGGAAAGAGAATAAATAAGCCATAAAGGGAGGAAAGGAAGATAAAATTGTGCGCCCACGGGCAGGAGGCATCGCGACTGGTGGGCTGAGTAATGCCCCCTCCCCCCAGTAACGGCCATGTCTTCGCACCTGTAACATGCTGGGTGGTTTTGTTTGTTTTTTCTAAATGTCATTTAAAGTTATTTTCTAGTATTTTTTGGAGGGAGGTAATTACATTTGTTTGTTATTTATTTATGTAACAGAGGCCTGGGGACGGAACCCAGGACTTCGTGCGTGCTAGGCATACACTCTACCCCTGAGCTACATCCTCCCCACTAACTGTTAAATGTCAAAGGGGAGTTTGCAAAAGTGGTCGGGTTAAGACCAGGACATAGGAGATGACACGGATGATCTGGTGAATGGATATAATCCCAAAGGTTCCTGTAAGTGGGTGGAGTGAGAGCAGCTCCATGGAGAAGTTAGTGGTCTGCTGGAAATACACAGACAGCGCCGAAGAGACATTAAGAGGCTACCTTGCTGCTTTCGATGGTCGAGGAAGGAGACGATGAGGCAAAGGTTGTCATAATCTCTAGACCCCAGGACAGACAAGGAGGCGTATTCAGGCCTGGAGTGTCCAGAAGCGGCCCAGGGCTGTGGATCCACTTCACACTCTGGCCTCCGAAACTACAAGAGAACAAATGTTGGCCAGAGCCACTCAGTTTGTGGGAATTTGTTACAGTGGAAATAGGACATTTACTGAAATGGCACATGGAGAAAGGCAAACGAATTCACGGGCATTTCTAGAAAAACTATTATTTGCAAGGTCTAGGATACAAGAACAAAATACAAAAATCTATTTCAACTTCATATACTAGCAATTTATGTGGAAATTGAAAATACAATACCATGTTTGAATGCTCAAAAAAATTAAAAGTAGACAAATGAGTAAGCTTAACAAAACATGGACTTTTTTGGTGAAAACTACAAAATAACGAAAGAAATCAAAGATGGCCTTTCATTTAGGTCATCTCTGGAAAACACCATGTTCACTGACTGGCAGACACAACATAAAACAATGGCAGGTCACCCCAAAGTGACTGACACGTTTGATGCATTGCCAGTCAAGATTTTGTAAATACAAGCAAGATGATTCTAAAATTAACAGGGAAGTAGTCGAAATTCTTGGTGAAAATGGGAAGGAAAGGTCTCTAATGCTGGACATCTGAGGTACTTAACGGAGAGTAATGCTATCTAGACAAATACTGATGGTCTGTTGACTATGGTGCGAACAGCTTCCCTTCTGAATTTAAAGGAGCTGTTTTGAAGTTAATGCCATCAAAATGGGCTTCATACCAGGGCGGGGTTGGGACCTGGGAAGAACTAACTTCAGCAGTTTCCACCTTTCAAGTAGATCACATGGAATTTTTTTCTGTTTTGACTGAAAATATTTTTGGTGGGGGCTCATTAGAAATATTCTAAAACTAGACTGTGTGAATGGTTTCACAACTTTGTAAATCCACCAAAAAAAAAAAACACTGAATTCCATACTTAAAAGTTTAATGGTACTCAAATTGTATCAATACACTTTTTTCATGCAGTGTTACCCTAGACTCACAACACACCTACAGTTTCAACTTACGTACACTTTCCCAAAGATTTTAGATGCAATTTTACATCTTCTCTTTTTCAAAAATTGCATTATAAAAAATTACTACATTATATCTAATACTTTCTCTCAATAGTCCTCAAATAATACTTTAGGATGTGATTTTTTTTTCTTGATGGGAGAAATTAAGATTGATTCATTCATTCATTCATTCATAGAGGTACTGGGAACTGAACCCAGGACCTCCTGCATGCTAATAAGCACGCGCTGTAACACGGAGCTGGACCCTCCCCACCGATTTCTAATCAATAACAAGTTACCTCTACCCTAAAATCTCTGGCTCATGTTTTCCTTTTAAACCTCAGAGCCCACAGTCTTGTGCAGTTACTTCCCTAGTTGGTATCACTTTACACTTGTTCCTGGCTAAAGGGCACCGTGTCTTCTGTATCCATCATAGCAGTGAACCGCTCTTGCCTCAATAAATACGTCATGTTCAATAATCCCTTTTCTTGGATTATTTGGTAATCAGTGCACCTACATATTATTTAAATACTCAGTCCCTGGCAATACGGGCCTATGAAATGAGACACAGGTGAACCCCGGCAGTATCGCGGGCTCAGTGCCAGGCCCCACAGTAAAGCAGCTGTCGCTGGACCACAGGGCGCAGACAACTTACGCTGATACTACTTTAAACAATTGTTTTAGTTTGGGGAGTTATTTATTCACTTATTTACTTGGAGTTATCAGGGATCGAATCCAGGACCTCATGCACGCTAAGCACTCACTCTACCCTACCCCCGTTTACACTACTCTTCAGACTATGAACTGGAGGATGGTCGTGCCCCCTGCATTCGGTTCTTCTGTCTGCGGGGCAGCTCCCCCAGAAACACAACTGGGACGACATGACCTGCCCCAGGGGTGCTGCTTCCCGGCCCTGTGTCCCATCAGATGGCGTAAGAATTACTGTGGCCACACCAACAACAGGGGCCCAGGAAAAAGATCAAGTAAGGCCCATCCACAGGCCCCTCCACTGCTGGCAGGGCAGCCATCACCCAAGCAGGTGCGTCCCCTTCACTGCCTGCAGCAGCAAACAAACAAAACCAGCTTACTGCTAAAAAGGCCAACCATCGTGTGAGCCTTCAGTGAGTCATAGCAGGCACACTTAATGATCACTGGTAACACATCACAGTAACAAATACAACAACAATGAAAAAGTCTGGAACACTGCGAGAACTACCAAAATGAGACAGAGACACGAACTGACCGAGCACAGTTGGAAAAATGGCGCCAAATACTTACTTCACGGTGGGTTGCCACAAACCTTCAGCGGGTAAAACCATGGGATCTGTGAAACACAGTAAGGCGAAGAGCAGTAAAAAGGTGTCCCTGGATAGCTGTTACAGGAAGATGCCATGACCACAATTACACATGACAGCAAGTCAGCTACAAATGGAGAAATGCTCATGAAGTTAACTACAGACATGAATGGCTGAAGGGTGTGGAGAACGTGCCTTGTTCGTGTAGCCCCGTGCCTAAGTTCTCTCTGCAGCCAGATGACGCGGACCAAAGCCGGATTCAGCCACTTCCTTGGATGGGATTTTTTTTTCCTGGTCCTAAGTTCCTTCACCTGGGAAGTAAGAAAAAGCATGGGTACTTATTTCAGAGTTGAAAATTCAATAAGGTACTGTGCTGCGTCCAGTGCAGCTCGGGACCGTGTCTGAGGACGGGCGACGCAAGACTTAAGGAACAAAGAGACAGAGTAAAGAGCAAAGATGGGACCAGGGGACTCAGGATCTTGTGGATCTAGAGCACCCGAAAGCCTGGTTGACATCATATTTATTAGGAGTATACAGCTCAGGAAAAAATGCAGACAAAGAGGTGGGGCTTCAGATGTTCCATGCGATAAGCACTAGGTTCTGCTTGCTGCTTAACTGATTATTTTCAGGCCTATCCCTCCTGGGAACAGTCACCCTCCTCGGGGTTTGCAAAATTTCTGAGTCTAGTCTATCTTGTTACTGCCTCCGGGACATCTCGAGGTAGCATCGCAAATACTTCCCTTGGGTTAAATCACATGCTTCCATGCCAGAGCAAAGTTCTGCTAATGGATGACCTGGCTTTCCAGGACTGACCACTGTTTTACCCTCAGGAAATACCTGCCCTCCTTCATACCCTTATGGTCAGTCTCAGGATTTCTCCTCACAAAATTTCATCTACTGTGTAAAACATTAAAACAAAGCAAGCATGTGCATTTTAAGCAAGTGAGTGTGAATACAATACTTTAGCTCATGGAAATGTAGGTGCGGCTTGTTTTCTAGTTGCTTGTTTCCCAGCAGCACTATGCTTAAGGCATTAATTACAGTGACCCCACTTGAAGTGTGATATAAAAGATTATATAAATCAAATTTAAGATCAGTTACCAAAGATTTTTGGTGGGGAACAAATACTGGTTCAGTTGACATGCTCAAAGGAGCACAAATCTTATTTTCTCTGCAAGATGCTCTGGTTCTTAATGTGAATCCATCACTGGGAAAGGGCACTATGGCTTCCAGGCACTGGACAATGGAGAGTGTCTCCTTGTCACAACTATAGTTGGAAGCTTGGCATCTTTCTACCACAGTCCTCGTTATATTTTCATTCCCTTCGCTTGTGTGCACGTGCAGCTCCACACACTTGATTTTCAAGCACCTGACCACAGCCAACTCCCACAAAACAGAGGTCAGGTCTCCACTGTGCCCTTTCCAGTCCTTTCACTGAACTGACCCCTAGAGGAGCTCTCTCTCCTTGTGTCTTTCTGTGTTGTTGCATTATGTGCATTTTCATGTCACCAGAGTCTGAAAACAGTACACTGATTTATCTGTCCCTTAGAGTCAAACAAGGGAAACATATGTGGTGGGAAAATGCAATGCTAAGGAAAAGCTATTAAAGAACACTTTATGCCATTAGAAAGTACACCAATTGACGTATTCCTAATACCGTCCTTTACAATGGAAATTTTAATGTCTTTTGGGAGACTGCCCTTCTAGTACACGTGCTTGGTTATACTATCTAATGAACATTTCCGAACATTGCTTTTTACTCAACTAGTGAAAATATCATAGGCAATGTATCTGAATAGTAGTAGTTGCCTGCACATTCAACAACCCTACTGAACAATGGAGCGTGTCTGTGCTGCCGAAAGAGAAATGTACTAAATTATTACCATGAAGAAAAGCAGCGTGTGCTCTAATCAAGAAATCAGGTTTGAAGGGTAAACATTCAGTGTTGAATTTAACAGTCTGACTCCAGTTTGATGCTTGACTACTGACAACTTTCAAGCCACAGCCTCTTCCTATTGGACTATCTGGACAAGCTGATAAAAAAGCCTGAGGACTTCCTCCTCTGATACCAAATGAAGTTCAGACCTTAAGTGGGTAACCTCCCCTGAGCTCCACCCAGTCACCATTCCCTGGTCTCTGAAACCATTTTCTTAACACTGTGAGAGTCTCTGCTGTCCCCTGGACACACTGAACGATGTGAGAAATGTTCTCATTCCCCTTCAATGTTAACATCGGTCTCAGCGACCAAACTGTGGGCAGGACTCCACCCCAACCCAGTGAATGGCCGCAAGTGCACATGACCAACAGCAAAACATGTTTTGGGGGTGAATACATAAAGTTTCTAGTTTATCAAACAAAAATGTTCCCATTGTATGTTGTTCATTTTTAAGACAAAACTCATGAACACTGATTTTTTCGAACTGTTTCACTGAGCAAGCACAAAAGAGACATTTCATGATTTAAAATGCTTCTAATATTTTGCAGATGCTTACTCTTCCCTTCACGTAAATCACAGTGGACCTCATGGGGTTTTTTTGAGCAAAAAAAAGGACAAAGAACCACAACTGATATATGTGGATAAAAGGGAACCCTCCTACACTGCTGGTGTGAATGCAGTTTGTTGCAGCCATTGTGGAAAACAGTATGGAGATTCCTCAGAAGACTAAAAATAGACT